TAGCCTCCAGCTCACATATTTTTGTCTTAGCTCAGGAAGGAGGGCTCCAGAGCAAACTAATTTATGCAGTAGCCAAATCGCTTGCTCACAACTTTAATGCCAGTAGCTCACAGAGTAGAATTTTTGCTCACAAGACTCCACGGCTTAGAGGGAACATTGGTCCCTCAGCCTTTCCTCATAGGGCTTGGTCTCCAGGCCCCCGATCATCCTTGTCGCTCTCCTCTGCACCCGCTTCATTCTTTCCACATCCTTTTTGAAGTGAGGCCTCCAGAAATGCACACAATACTCCAGGTGTGGCCTGAATAAGGCAGTGTACAGCGGGACTATCATATCTTGCGATTTTGTCACTGCATCACGCTGGCTAGCCGTGAAATGGTGCTGGAGTATGTCAGTTTTATGGAAGTTCCCCTCCCCACAGACACACACAAAGCTGCCTTATATAGTATCAGATCATTGGTCTGTCAAGCTCAGTGTTGTCTGCTCTGATTGGCGGGGTCTCAGGTAGAGGTCTGTCATGGCACCTGCCACCTAATCCTTTTAACCTGGGACCTTCTGCATGCCAAGCAGATGCTCTGCTGTTGAGCCATTGCTCTCCCCACTTTCACCATGTTATGTAAGCCAATATGTCTGTGACCTTCAGCCTGGTTTTTGGTTCCCCCTAACAAGTGAGTTTTCGCAGTAGTAAAATGAAAGAGGAGAGCAGGAAAAAAAACCCTACTCATAATTTCCATTGCTGATATTCCACAGAAACCCCTGGGCATGAGTAGAACTAATAAAAAATATGTCTGTTTTGCTGCCTGAGGTAGCAGAGGGAGAAAGCTACAGATGCCATATGGGAAATATCGTGAAAATGTAATAAGTTCATAAGTGTTAGCACAGCCGAAACCTCGTAAAAATCAGGACCTGGTGGTGGTGGAGGAGGTGGTATATTGAAATTCCCGCGGCAGCTTTCCAAGACGGAAGCTGAAAAGGGCAGAAGCGAATTGTAGTAGAGCAAGATACGTTCTTGGATATGTGCTTTTGGCTACTACATTCCCCTGGGTTGCGGACAGAATTTGCAGTACATTCCTCAAACTGCTCGCAACCCCTGGCCTGGATCACATAGGTCTTCACCTATGTAGATCCTTTTGAGTGCTTATCATTTGTTCTGTGATGTGCAAAACACTTCGCTGACTGTGGAGCTCGCCATCTCGCCACTACCATTGTGTTAAAATGCCACCTCTGCCTGAGAGCCACTGCGTTCCCTCAAGAGATGTGTGCCAGGATTGAAGACCTACCACTCAGTGCCATGGACCTCTAGCACAGATGAAATCCTCAGTGAAATAAGAAAAGATAAACTCACTGCCAAAACTCTGGGGGCGATCCCTTTAGCACCCTCCAATCCAAGGCCCCGCTATAGACCATATTACCCAATATCCAGAGGGAGAGGACTTCATCACTCACTCACACTTACTTCTGGAGGCCTGCATATATGCCTACAGTTCAACCACCTGCTGAGGAAAAAGTTTCCTACCCTCAGAGGCAAGGCCGGACCTCAGTCGCCCAAACCCAACCAACCCACTTGGCAGGGTTTTTAACAATCGCAGCCTGCGTTGGGCACATCACCTGGCAGAGGACATAATACCCAGTCAACTCACCTCGCAAGACATTTCCCAAGAGCCAGTTTGGTGTAGTGGTTAAGAGCACAGACTCTAATCTGGGAGAACCGGGTTTGATTCCCCACTCCTCCACTTGCACCTGGCTGGATGACCTTGGGCAAGCCGTAGTTCTGATAAGAGCTGTTCTTGAAAAAAGAGCAGTTTCTGTTAGAGTTCTCTCAGCCCCACCAACCTCACAGGGTGTCTGTTGTGGGGAGGGGAAGGGAAAGGAGTCTGTAAGCCGCTCTGGGACTCTGAGTGAAGGATGGAATATAAATCCAATCTCCTCCTGCTCCCCTCCTCTTCCTCCTCCTCCTCCTCTTCTTCAAGCATCATGACAAAGGGTTATGCAACAGAATTTGCCTCTCTCCTCCTAACCTGTGCTCCCCTAGCTTCCAACCTTCCCATCCTGTCTCCAGAACTCCTGGCAGAGGCCCATGCACTGAAAGCAATACTAGAAGTGCCTGCAAAAGAGCTGCACTCGGAGTTCCATTCCAGAGACTTTCTGGTCAAAAAGAAAGTGGGGGCGGGGTGATGAGGCCCATACTTGACCTGAGGGGCCTAAACAACTTCATGTTAGTAAAAAAAAGTTTAGAGAGGGATTTTCTTTCAGAGGAACACATGAAACTGCCTTATACTGAATCAGACCCTTGGTCCATCAAAGTCAGCATTGTCTACTCAGACAAGCAGCCGCTCTCCAAGGTCTCAGGCAGAGGTCTCTCACATCACCTAATGGCAGCTCTTTTAACTGGAGATGCCGGGGATTGAACTTGGGACCTTCTGCATGCCAAGCAGACGCTGTGCCTATGAACCACAGCATTCCCCGATGTCCTTCCTCTATTGCAAATCTAGTTTTACAAACCATGTAACACTGGATTTGCTAGATGCATATTTTGAGGTACAGATATGACTGGACCACCAGAAGTGCCTCCACTTTCAATGCAGTTCTTACCATTTCCAGGACAGGATCCTTCCATTTGGGCTAGCTACAGCGCCCAGAGTATTTACCAAAGTGGTATCTGGGTTAGTGCCCTACTCAAGAAGGCTAGGGTGTCAGATATATCCACACCTTGACGACTGATTGATCGTAGTTGACACCAAACCAAAATTACAAGCAGACCTTCACCTTATTTTTTTTTTGCAAATCATTTTTTGCAAATTGCAGATATTCAAAGTATTGAACCTACAGGTCAGTGCAAAGAAATCCAAGTTAGAACCTTCACAGAAGTTCTTCTTCAGAGGTGCGATGATACACTCTAACCCGGCCAAGGCTTTCTCACCCTCAGAAAGAGTCCTGGCACTCAGAATGCACATACTTCGCTTCCAGAGAGTATGCTTTCAGCCAGCCATAATAATACAGAGTCTGCTAGGGTTAATGGCCTCCACCGCATCAGTGGTAGCACATGGCCAGACTACTCATGTATCCTTTGTAATAGTGGTTTGTCAGGATTTTCAATCCCTTCTGCCACCATCAATCAAAAAGGTTAAACATCCCAAGGCGAGTGTTACAGACCCTTCACTGGTGGACTCTAAACCCCAACCTCTTGGTAGAGGTACCCTTCCAATTTCCCCTACTAGAAATTACAGTCACCACAGACACCTCCTTGCTAGGCTGGGGCACCCACATCCGCCCAATATCAGCCAGTGGGACATGGTTAACCCAGGAGATGCTTTATCACATCAATGTGTTGCAACTTGGTGCTTGAGGGAGGGCAACAGTGGGAGGGTTTCTGGAGTTCTGGCCCCGCTGGTGGACCTCCTGATGGCACCCGGTATGTTTGGCCAGTATGTGACACAGAGTGTTGGACTGGATGGGTCACTGGCCTGATCCAACATGGCTCCCCTTACGTTCTTATGTTCTAATTCCAAGCCGTATAAAACGGTCTAGTAGCCCCACACGTTGGGCAGAAATATTCAAATAGGTACAGATTTATATTCCATCCTTCACTCAGAGTCCCAGAGCGGCTTACAGGTACAGACAGATTTTTACGGGGCAACACATCTTCCTTGCCACTTGGCCACACCGATATTGGAGTGAGTCATCAACAGCAGTGCCCCAGTTGAGGCCACACATAAAACAGGCATTGACAACAGGCTACTGGATTTCCTCAAGCCGCACTCTCTTCTCCATACAAAGCAAGTACTGTACCACTGAGCCACAGCCTCTCATGAAAGATGAAAGAGGTCCTTAGAAGGGGAGGCGTGGGTGGGTGGGGGAGATCACAGGGAGCGGCACCGTGGCAGAGGTGGAAGGAGGATACTGTAGCATCCATTCATCTGCAAAAGGTCCCAGGTTTAATCCCAGTAAAAGGATCTCTGGTAGCGAGGTGGAAGGAATCCTGCCTGAAACTCAAAAAACCCACAAAACACTATCAATCACAGTAGAACAGCATGGGCTGTCCAAGGACCAGTACTGGAAGGCAGGTGGCTGTAACTAATGCCATGGCAGAGTAAGCTGGAGCCTTCTCCCACAGCTATGTGGACAGGACTGTCTGTATACAGCCTCAACTCTCTAGTGTATGTATCACTTTGAAACAGTTCTCTGCGATATGGGGAGGGGTTGTGAGTATGTGTGTGTGTGTGCGTGCTCGCGCACGTGCCTGGAAGTCATGGTTGACTTCTGGCGACCCCTAGTGGGGCTTGGACGTTTCAGAGAGGTGGCTTGCTTTTGCCCACCTCTGCGTCCCGGCCCTGGTATCCTTTGGAGGTCTCCCATCCAAGTACTTGCCAGGGTTGGCCCTGCTTAGCTTCCAGGTTCAGGTTAGCCTGATCTCATCAGATCTCGAAAGCTAAGCAGAGTAAGCCCTGACTGGCGTTTGGATGGGAGACTTCCCTGGAAGACCAGGGTCATGGTGTGGCGGCAGGCCATGGCAAACCTCCTCCGCAGTTCTGTTGCCTTGGAAACCCCACCCGGTGTCACCATAAGTCGGCTGTGCCTTGACAGCACTTTCCGCCACCAGAATGGTAGCAGGGTGGTAGGGTTGGTGTAGTGGTTAAGTGCGTGGACTCTAATCTGGGATTCCCCATTCCTCCATTTGCAGCTGCTGGATGACCTTGGCCAAGCCATAGTTCTTTCCGAGCTGTTCTTGAAAGAGCAGTCCTCGAAAGAGCTCTCTCAGCCCCACCTACCTCTCAGGGTGTCTGTTGTGGGGAGGAGAAGGGGGAGGGGTTTGTCAGCCGCTCTGAGACTCTGAGTGAAGGGTGGGGGTATAAATCCAATCTCTTCTTCTTCTTCTTCTTCTTCTCTTCTAGGTGGGGAAATCCGTGGACTTGAAGGTCACTCCCCTCCCTGTGTTACTGTGACTGTTAACATGTTAACTCTGTCTGCTCCATATTAAAAGTGTCTTCTCTTCTCTTTTAAAGCAAATGAAGAAACATCCTTGCCGGCAGTGTGACAAATCTTTCAGTTCCTCCCACAGTCTCTGCCGCCACAATCGTATCAAGCACAAAGGCATTAGGAAAGTATATACCTGCTCGTAAGTCCTGCTTCTATTAATATTATTGTTTATTCGTTATTTCCAATGTTTATACGCTGCCGTTTTGCCCAGCCAGTCACAACCACTCAGGTGGCTAAGAGTTAAACATTATAAACATTATAAAAAATGTATCATAAAAAAAATTAAACCTAAAACATACATATTAAAAACACATAAGGGAGCGGTGGCGCAGGCAGTTCAACGCCTGCATTAACAACACTAGCGAACAGTCACTATGGCTGTTCGAGACCCACCGCGGCCGGGGTGAGCTCCCGGCCCAAGTCCCAGCTCTCGCTCACCCAGCGGCTCGAAAGAATAACCGCAAGTAGACAAATGGGTACCTGCCCTAGGTTGGCAGGGGGCACCCTCCCTCTTGATGGTGTGTGCCAGGAGTGTCAGAAGCAGTGATACGGCGGCAGAGCAGAGGCGACCCATGGATGCGGCGGCGACGGAGACTGGATGGAGGCAAAGCTACGGCAGCGGGATGGCGGCACGACGGCGTGACGATGCAGTGCGGCGGAGCCTAAGGGACAAAGACCGGAACTGCAATCGGGAGCTGCCGCGTGTCGGAGGAGTCCATCAGGAGCCTGCCGGGAGATGTCGTCGACCTGTCCTAAGGCGCCAGGAAGAAACAATGGAAGCCCGCCCGTGGAATACAACAGGACTGCGCCGCTCGGGTGTCGATAGGTAGCCCCTCCCCCAGTCGAATTGTGGCCCTAGGATAGGAACTAATTAGGCACTTAGGCCATATACCTGTAAACCGCCCAGAGACCCTTGGGTAAAGGGCGGTATACAAATAGAAGTTATAAATAAATAAATAAATAAATAAGACATAGGGCATGAAGAATGGACGCCTTGAGGGAATGCCAGATGAAGCAGAAAAGTCTTCACCCACTGGCAGAAGAGAGCCACAGAAGGGGACAGATCATGAATATCCCTGGGGAGAGAGTTAAATCGTTTTGGTGCCACCCCTAAGGAGGTCCTCCTTCAGGTTGCTGTCCGCCTAATCTCAAAGGTGGGATTGCCTAAAGCAGGCCCTTGGAAGATAGCACGAGTGGTTAGGTAGGTTTGTGTGGAAGTAGGTGATCCCTCAGGTATGCTAGTCCCCAGGGCTTTTTTGTAGAAAAAGCCCAGCAGGAACTCATTAGCATAATAGGCCACACCCAACAGCAGAAACCCATTAGCATTTTAGGCCACACCCCATGCCTTCCCTTGCTTGGGCACCCCGCGGCTGCAGGGAGCCCAAGCAAGCCAGGCCTTGGACAGGCCGGGAAAGGCACAGGGAGGCATTTAAATGCCTCCCCAATCCTTCCAGGGGCCCCCCCGGCCCACCCGCCTCGGAGTCGAGGGGAGGGGGGTCGCTCTCCAGGCCTTCCCTCTGTAGCCACGCAAGCAAAGGTTTTAGCTGTAGTGGGCGCGGCCAACTCTGAAGCCCACCGGAACTCCGTTCCTGTGCGTTCCTGCCCAGAAATAGCCCTGCTAGTCCCAAACCAGATTGGGATTTTAAAGCACCTTGAATTGCACTCCGAAACAAATTGGTATCCAGTGTACAACTGTAGTAATATGATCCCTATGACTCACTATACTCAGCATCCAGGCTGCATTCTGCACCAATTGAATTTTCTGAGTACTTTTCAAGGGCGGTCCCAAATAGAGCATATAGCAGTAATCTAATCTAGATATTGAAGTTGTTCAGTTTTTAAAATTTATGGGGGGAGAGAGAGAAAGGGTGACTGCAGCCAGTTTACTCCAGTTTCTTCTTCTTCATCATCATCAATAATATTTAGCATTTGTATGGCACTTTCAAACTCATTATCAAAGTAATCCTTCCTCCAAGGGGTTCCAGCTGGAATGAATAATCCCATTCATTAATCCCAATTATTTGAAGGCACCGCCAGAGCATCTGACTCTGTATAGGAAGGGGACTTCAAACTTTGCACCTGCCAGGAACCCTTTCCAGGTTAATCCATCTGTTGCAGCAGTTTTGCATTTCTGCTTTGGAGATTTGCATGCCGCAGAGGATTATGGTAGACAGTTTAGGTGGCATTATTGTTGTTCACGTGGCAACCCTCAAGCTAATTGGACCGGTTTGGAGCGGAAAGCACTCCCTGGAGTGTGCCTAGCTCTTCCCTGTGGCTGCTTATTTCAGGATATTTGATCCAGATGTTCCAGCTGTGTTATGCAGCTTGTCCCCTGTGACTGATCTTCTCATTGTAGGACCTCTGGCTGGCTTTTGCAGAGCTGTCAGAACATGCTTTGAACCCACTGCTCGAGGGTTCCTCCAGCCCGTGTGCTTAGAGGTCTCCTTTGGTGAATGGTTCAGCAAGCGAAATAGTTCCTGCCTTCCAGATGATGCTTTAGGAAGTGGCAATCCAAAAGGGTTCCCTCCCCTCGTGTAAAGAAAAAAAAAACACAAATAAGGGGAGTTAGCCTGGGCTAGAGATTCAGGGGGAGAGGTGAAAGTAATGGATAGATTATAGGATTTCTCCAAGCCAGAAAGTTTGCTTGAACATTAGCAGTGAATTTGAGAATAACCCCTAGCTCTCACTTTCCAAAAAGAGGTTCTCTTCTCTGCCTGCTACCCTGGCCCGTAGCTACGGTGGGGCAGAGCCCCCTTCCATAAAGGCTCCCCCCGCTTCTTCCCAAAAGCATTTAAAGGGATCCTTTCAGTGTTTTTGAGAAGAAGCAGATGGCGGTGCGCGCCCCTCTCCCTCCCTCCTGCAAGATTTAAAGGGCCCTCCAGCTGATCCGTGGGCCACAGCTCTGACTGAACTTATGACTGACCCAAGGTCACACCAGCAGCTGCATGTGGAAGAGTGGGGAATCAAACCCGGTTCTCCCAGATTATTCCACACTCTCAACCACTCCACCAAACTGGCTCTCTATTTAGTTTATGTATGCAGTGCTTTTATCTGTTGCTCTTCTTGATCTCGTGCAATTCAGGTGGCACAAAGGACCTGTACCTACTTACGTTTCTTGTGCGTTTTTTACAGGCACTGCCCAGATTCAAGGCGTACTTTCACCAAGCGACTGATGCTAGAAAAACACATTCAGCTGATGCACGGCATTAAGGAGCCCGATGTGAAAGAGATGACGGAATCAACCAACAGAGGACAAAGTGAAGTCAAGGAAGATACCAAGGTGAGAGGGAAGAGACGCAAGTAATCTCATTTCTCTCATGGATGTTTCCGTTACGGGAATCTTGTCCCCTTAATAACAAATCAGAGTTGGCAAGAGTAAGATGGCTCGCGAACCTGGAGAAACCCTCTTTGCAGTCCCATTTTGTGGCCCGTTCAGAAGACTCCACAATCTACATGTTGGGATGGTACCATTTTTGTTAACGTACGTTTGATACCTGACTAGATGGCTTAGGCTAGCCTGATTTCATCAGATCTTGGAAGCTAAGCAGGGTTGGAACTGGTTAGTGCTTGGATGGGAGGCCTCCATGACGGTAGTTGGAAACGCCGTAAAACAGCAGAGACTCTGTTTCAGTATGTACAGAGTATTTACACTTTATTTACACTGGACACTGGAACATATATATATACAGTCCTTCTGAATCAAACTCACTGTTCAAACTGACAAGGTGCTACGCAGACAAACGATCCCACAAAAGAGATGTGTAGCACTGTACAAGGTCACAATATATATGTACACTGACCAATCAGGACATAGCAATTGACGTTTAGCTGACTCATGGTGACTGCTCCAGAATCGGATGCAATCTGGCTGTCACCTGACTCCTGGCTGTCACTTTAGATCAGATAGATCTAACTCAGCTGTTCATGACTGACTGACAGCTTGCCGGTAATATCTCAAATACTGTCACTCCAAGGATGTCCAGGGTCCACCTTTGAACATCTCTTGCCTTGAAAACCCCATGAGGGGGTCATTGTGAGTCGGCTGTGAGTGACAGGATGGCACTTTCCACCACTGTATTGGTGTTTTTTTCCAGCCAGATCTACAGGTCAGGTCTAACCAAGACATGCATGCTTAAGGAGGTGGATTGATATGCACACAACTCCCAGAATGAGTTGGCCCTGGTGCGAGCGGACGAAGCCCTATGGGGAAAGCCTGAGGGACTTGGAAATGTTTAGTGCGGAGAAGAGGAGGTTGAGGGGGAGGGACATGATTGCTCTCCTTAAGTATCTGAAGGGCCGTCCCTTGGAGGAGGGCAGGGAGCTGTTCCTGTGGGCAGCAGAGGACAGGACTCGCAATCATTGGTTTAAATCAAGGGTGGGAAGGTACCGGCTAGATATTACGAAAAACTTATTTACAGTAAATGTTGTGCAACAGGGGAATTGGCTGCCTCGAGAGGTGGTGAGCTCCCCCTCAGTGGCAGTCTTTAAGCAGCGGCTGGACAAACACTTCTCCGGGATGCTCTAGGCTGAACCTGCATTGAGCAGGGGGTTGGACTAGAATCAGGCATGTCCAACTTCGAACAGGTAGTGATCTGTTTTCTCCGGCCAAAAGTGCTGGTGATCTACCACCATAATAAAATTTCAAATTAGTTTCAAATTAGATTTAACCCCACTAAAGTTGGGTTCCACCGCGGGGGGGGGGGCATTTATAATGCACCTTCTGTCATTTACTGGTAAGCAACATGAGCAAAAACAAAAGAGAGAGATGAAGATCCAGAAAGAACTGCGAACATTTTTTATTTTTTATTGAGTTATAACTTTCTTGAAAAACCCAAACACCTGTCCGGCAAACCAGGAGACCAAGTGGGGATGGTGATCAATGTTCCCTCTAAGCTGTGGAGTCTTGTAAGCAAAAATTCTACTTTGTGAGCTACTGGCATTAAAGTTGTGAGCAAGCTGTTTGGCTACTGCATACATTAGTTTGCTCTGGAGCCATCCTTCCTGAGCTAAGACAAAAATGTGTGAGCCGGGGACTAAAAAACTGTGAGCTAGCTCACACTAACTCAGCTTAGAGGGAACACTGCTGGTGATCTACCTCTGACCTCTCTGATCTACCTGTTGGACATACCTGGACTAGATGGCCTGTATGGCCCCTTCCAACTCTGTGATCCTATGATTCTATGACAGCGCTCAGTCTAAAACACCCCCCTCCCAAATATCCTACCTTGTATGATACAGCCATATGCAGAGTCCATCCTGGAACTTTCTATTCTGTGACTAGCAGTGGCTCTTCTTCTTCTTTTCTTTTAATAACAAACAGAACCACAAAATACAGAATACAAACATAAACAGGTTTCCATCCCACAATCGTTCAGCTTATTTGGAGTTTCTTCTCCTATTTCTTTGCACCTAACAATATTACATGGATTAATCTTATTATTTTAATATAATCAAGATTTAATACAGTTCTCAATCCAATTGAGAATCTTGACCAAACCTCTTTAAAAAGCTCTTCTAAGGGTCTTTCCCAGCCCTGATCCCTAACTATAGATTGAACCTAGGCCCTTAGGCATTCAAGGCATATACTCTAGCACTTTGCACTCTACACAGGCGTTCTCTCTGAGTTCCCCCCAACCAAGTCCACTCCCGTGTATCTCCCGCATATCTATGCTTTTCCCTTTGGAGAGACCTTTTTTTGTTATTGAGTTGGAAGATAGGGCATTGCACGTTTGTACTGGGTGTACGGACTGCATTGGTTCAGAACCAAGGATCAGTGTTGAATCACCATAGTAACTGAAGGTTGCGGCTGCGGTGCTGGAGGTGGATTAGGACTTATTGGGTTGAGCTGTATGTCTCTACAAAGACATGTGCAAAATAATGTGACAAGTGGTTTGGGAGAACAGGGTGGGCCGTGTCTGCTGCATAATTTTTACGTTTCCTCAAATGGACAACAAATATATGCTTGCTGATGGGGGGGGGGAGCCTGCCTGGTACTGCAGTTGCCAGTCAGAAATGTTTGTAGGAATGTTACAGATCGTTACCTGTGCTCTTAAGAGCCGGTTTCACTGGAGCAGATTTCTGCCTAGACTCAGTACCCAAGTAGTTTGTCCTGTGCCTATTAGGAAGGTAAAAAAAAGTATTGCTAGATCAGAGCAGAGGCCTTTTGAAGGCCATTTAGCTTCCAACATTGGCTATCCAGATGCCCATGGAAACTCACAAGGAAGGTATTAACATGGAGGCTATCCACTATGGACTGTCCCCAGCATTCTGGGTAGCAGTGTGTGTGAACAAGATCTTGGGGTACGGGTGGACCGTAAGTTAAATATGAGCAGCCAGTGTGATGCAGCGACAAAAAAAGGCTAATGCAATCTTAGGGTGTATCACTGTAAGTTCGTTGCTACTTGACAGCATTCAATTATTATTAGAACTCTCTGTCCCAGGAGGTAGCGATAGCCAAGCGCTTGCATCTTCTCAAAAGGAGATCTAGCCGTGATGCTAAATAGAACCTCCATGTCTGGAGGAAATATATCCCTGAAAGGGAAAGGTTTTGGCTTCTACACTCCTTCTGTGGGCCTCCCAAGTCATCCCGGTAGCCTCTGTAGGAATCAGAATGGCTGGCAAGAGAGACCACTGGTGTGAACTACCAGAGCACTCCTTATGTTGTGTGAAAATTGCTTTCATTTTGTCTGTTCTGAACTCTAGTGATGGTCCGTTTGCTTGATCTGTTGTATAAACGGGCCCTAGCTCAAGCAGCGGTTTTCTGCTTCTTTCAAAGTATAGACGCAATGACTATTACCCAGCATAACGGCACAGTTATAATTGGGTTTTTATAAAATGGCTGTCTTATCGACTTCAGGTTCCCAGTCCGAAGCGTAAATTGGAGGAGCCCGTGCTGGAATTCAGGCCCCCTAGAGGAGCGATCACTCAGCCACTGAAGAAGTTGAAGATCAACGTTTTCAAAGTCCACAAGTGTGCAGTGTGCGGCTTCACGACAGAGAACCTCCTCCAGTTCCACGAACATATCCCCCAGCATAAATCTGATGGCTCTTCCTACCAGTGCCGGGAGTGCGGTCTCTGCTACACCTCCCACGTCTCCCTTTCCAGGCACCTCTTCATTGTGCATAAGCTGAAGGAGCCACAGCCCGTCTCCAAACAGAACGGGTCCGGGGAAGACAACCAACAGGAGAACAAGCCCAGCCGCGAGGAGGAGGCATCCGACAACGCCGTGTCTGACCGGAAGTGCAAAGTGTGCTCAAAGACCTTTGAAATGGAAGCTGCCTTAAACACTCACATGCGGACCCATGGGATGGCCTTCATTAAATCAAAACGAATGAGTTCGGCCGAAAAATGACCTGCCCTCTTCTCCATCTCACACGTATATTTCGAAAGCAAAAAACAACAACACAAAACCTTCCCTACTTCAGAAGATAAATGATTTTTTTTTGGTACAGAAAGTTCACCCTACAGTAATAGTGTTAACGGTTCTGTCCAAACTGTTGCAATATAGTCTATATATAATCTTCCTCACTTCTTCGCTATAGATCATAGATATATGTAGAGAGATAGATATATATAGACAGTGTTGTGTATATGTCTGTATATATACATACAGACTTACACACAAATAAAGTCTACCCTCCTCCCAAAAATACGGCATTAAATAAAGCAGTATTTGAGTTGAACAGAGTATGTATATATTTAAACAGATGATTTTTATACTCTTTGTTATGTGTTTGTATTGGTATTTAGTAGGAAAACCCTGTTTTTTTTTTTGTTTTGTCTTTTTAAATAATTTGTTTAAAGCAGAGTTCTTAATATTGGGGCAATACCTAGGGTTCCATTCAACAGCTTTGCATGTGGTCCCTTTCTGATGTTACTTAAGCAGTGTGGGAGACAGACCTGTATTTCTCTTCCCTAAAGGGCTCTGATGATGTCATTTCCAAGATCACATGACAGATACCCTTATCACATGATTCCTTACTAGGCCAGCACTTCCCCTGCGGGGTGATGGTGGTGGTACTGTTGGTAGCAGCCCCATGTAATTTGAGAGCTTCTGGATTTACCAAGGATGTAGGAAGGACGTATGCAACAGCAGCTCCCACACCTCTTAAGTTAAAGTCAGAACAGGCCCAAAGAGGTCTTTTCGGAAGACGGTTGTGCCTGATGAAACCGAATCAGAGGAAAGAAAAGCAAGTTGGGTTTCATTTTCCATTTGTTTTTGTTCTGAATCATCAACAGGACTAGAGCCCCAAATAATGTAGCGCATTTGTAGATTTTTTTCCCCCCATGACCAAAAGGAGAGTGTTTGGAATCATGTGACTTTAATCTCCTTCATAAGACTTTTTAGGTGCTTTTTTCTTTTTGTAAATCATGTATAACATCAGAGAGTCTCCCCACCTATAGAGAACACATTAGACACGAGGCTTCCAGCTGTTCTTTTGCAAAAAAGGCCCGTCGAAATGAATAGGCATCATGGGGAAGTGCTATGGAAGACGGAGCGTGAGGACATTCGGATGGATTCACGCACATCTGATGTGTCCAGCATACTTGGAGAGACTTTCTGACATGATCCAGGAAGATTATCAGAGTGCAGGTCTCTGCACATAAGGATACTTACATAGGATCTAATCCATTTGGAGGTTGTCTTGCCCTAAAGCCCCCACTGAAATTCATAGGAACCACACAGAAACCTCCTGCTAATCATTTCAGTAGACTTTGCACAGGAAAACATGCCGGTGGGTCGTCCTACTCATGTGTCTTAACCATCCCGCTTCTTAGCCTCCTCTGTTGCACTTTTTTAATACGGCTGGTGGGACTCCACATGAGCCTCGTTTAAAAAACCCCCAGTAAAACCAGTATTTAAGTTAGCGTTTCCCTGCAAAATAGGATGCAGAATTAAGCTTAGCTGCTCGAGACCGATCAAAATGTGTACAGTTCTGTGAATAACGTTTACAGTTATGGAGGGTTATGGGGTGGGAGGGGAAGGTAGCACATCATGTAATTTCTTCAAATGCTTATATTGGAACCGTTTATAAGGCATTATCCGTTTTAACTTGATCGGAAGGATTGTAAGTCTTGATGCGTGGCTTGCGTTGGAGGGGATGGGGGTCACTCGTTTATGCTAAAGCCAGCTGTTCCGATAGGTAATAGGGTTAGTAAACTGACAAATAGACTTTGCTTTGGTTGCTTGTTCTAAATATTTTGTGCATTCCCCATCAGGCACCTTAACGGACAGTGTTAGGCCAAATGTATTTCACCCATTAGGGCTGCACAAAACTGAAAGGTTTAGACTGATGAGTCTTCTGCAGTTTCATGAGTGCATGACAAAAACATAGAGGGTTGGATCTAGCTGGCTTTTCCCCCCACTCCGTCTCACCTGTTTCCCCTCCTTATGACATCCCCCACCCCACATGGTTTGGTCCATGCAGGGTCCGTGATCCCCAGCATGGCTCTTTTTTTGAGTGGTCCAGTGAGACCCCCTCCTCCATTTTTCACCAGTGAGAAAACTGACTGAATCCAGCCTCTGGGCAAAATGGCTGATTGTGAAAATCTCATATTTTTAAGACTTTGAGAGCCAGGTTGGTGTAGTGGTTAGGAGCGCAGACTCTAATTTGGGAGAACCAGGTGTCATTCCTCACTCCTGCACATGCAGCTGCTGGTGTGACCTTGGGCCAGTCTCAAGTTCTTTCAGAGCTCTTTCTCTCAAGAGCAGTTCTGAAAGAGCTCTCTCAGGCCCACCTACCTCACAGGGTGTCTGTTGTGGGGAGGGGAAGGGAAAGGAGATTGGAAGCTGCTCTGAGACTCCTTTGGGTAGTGAAGGGCGGGGGTATAAATCCAATCTCTTCTTCTCTTCTACAAAGAATAACTGGTAGAATTCAGGGTTTAGCTACACATTGGATTGGATCCTACCAGCCCTTCCACTCCAACTCACTGAGTTCCCGTCCTCACTGCAGCCCCTCCCCCTCCATCTTTGCATTGCATCTGTCTCTGCATGTCCCCGGTTGACCTTTCTGTCAAAAAAGGCTCTTCCTCCATTTTTTGCCAATGGGGAAAGCTAGTAGGATCCAACTCATACAATTTTCCTACATGTGCTTGTGAGTTCCTTCTTGGGAACTCTGTGTCCAGGCGTGTGGACCTGATTCAGACCTAGACTGTAGTGTGCGAGAAGGGACTTTGGCCCGCTACCCCCATTCCATTTCCCTGACCCACAGTGGCTGCATGGGGTAGTATCTTTCATTGGGGTAGTACCTGATGTTGGGGGCTCCATGTTTACTAATGGGATACACCAAGATTTCCCCAATGGGGCACATGGCACTCCACCAGGGACATTTTGGGTTGGGAAACAGCATAGGGAGAGCGGGCTGAAGCCCTTTCTTCACGGGCACTGTGGTCCCAATCTATATCAGGCCCCACACACCTACTAATTGAGTTCCCAGTGAGAAACTTAAAAATGCACATCTGACTGATGGTGCTCATGGCACGCAAACAGACAAAAAGCAGCCTTATGCTAATACAGACCATTGGTCCATCAGTGTCAGTATTGTATTGTCTCTACTCAGACAGGTGGTGGCTGTCTGGGGTCTCAGGTAGGGGTCTTTCATACTTGCCCTTTTTAACTGGAGATGCCAGGGATTGAACCTGGGACCTTCTGCATGACAAGCAGATGCTCTACCACTGAACCACAGCCCTTTTTGGCGGGACCCAACCAGAGGGCAACTTATCATGCAGTTAGAGCCTCAGTCACCAGTCTGAGCAAGTTTTCTAGTAGTTAGGGATGATATTTCCGTGCAATGCATATTCCTTGTCCTCCCCCATGACTAGCAGGAGCGGAATAAACCATGCAAAATCAGCAAGTCTATGCACGTCATTGATACAGGCTGCAGAACTCCATTTGGAGTCTGCACAAATGAGATGAATACTGGATGGATCTTTTGTATCTTTTGTAACAAAGCAAAGGCAAACCTGCCCCTGTGAAGGGGTGGTGACATCAGCCAACAATTGACTTCCCTTGCTTTGGTGCCATGTTTTAATTGCATGTAAGGCCTAGGTGATCTCTCCTAGACTGTGAAAATCCTGGTTGACAGAGCAGTCAGTTTTAGGCAGTTTTTGGTGGGTCCTTGCCAGCTCTCCAGTTTGTGATGTAACAGTGGTCTGTCTTCAAGACTGGCTTTTGTCTTGTTTGCACATCTCAGAATACTTTCGTTTTGGGTGGGTAGCTGTATTGGTCTGCAGTAGATGAGCAAGATTTGAGTCCAGTATGTTCCCTCTAAGCTGTGGAGTCCCGTGAGCAAAAATTCCACTTAGTGAGTTACTGGCATTAAAGTTCTGAGCAAGTGATTTAGCTACTGCATCAATTAGTTTGCTCTGGAGCCATCCTTCCTGAGCTAAGACAAAAATGTGTGAGCTGGAGGCTAAAAAACTGTGAGCTAGCTCACACTAACTCAGCTTAGAGGGTACACTGGTAGCGACCAATAACTTCACGCGAAGTGACTGATACCATACGTAATCTTAAGAACAACAAGACGCCAGGCCAAGATGGATTCCCAGGTGAATTCTATAAAAAATATTATGATCTACTTGTAGACCCCTTAAAAGATATTTATAATTTCGTTTTAAATCAGGGAGTGATAACAGACACGTGGAATTATGCTGAGATTATCGTTTACCTAAGAAAGAGTGAATGATATAAGCCGCTCTGAGACTCCAAGTGAAGGGCGGGATATAAATCCAATCTCTTTTTCTTCTTCTTCTTCAGTGGGGTAGGAGGAAAGATGGCTGCTGTAGGATCACAGAGCCTTCTAAGAGTGTGCATTAAAGGAGGTGGTGGCCACTTGGTCGAGTCGTAGACTTCGCATGGGGATCAGCAGCCTAAGGACTGTAAAGCACTTTGAATACAACAAGTATTTTGTTAATTAATCATTCTTCCATGGTACTCTGACAATGCAAGGAAGATTCAGTTCAGGGTGACACTCCCATTGTGTGTATTTTCACATTTTTGGGATAAAACTTGTATCCTTACACAAACAAGGTAAGGTAGGTCTGTATTGCTATTCCCGTCTTGTACATGTGGTGGGGCGAGGGAGGAAGCACTGATGCTGGCAGTCAGTGGGTTGCTGAAGGCTGTATAATGAGTTAATGGGTGTGTTGAGATGAGATTTGAACTTGGCGTTTCCTGGCTTAAACCCTTCCCCAGTAAGCTATGCTAGCTCTTGCCCATATAGCGTTGAACCCAAAGTCATGTGTAACGATGTTAGCTTAGTCCTTTCCAAAAGCATACCCCGAACCATGTGTCTTACATAGTTCCTAGTGCCCAGAATTCTATTATAAAATATGGTACCAAGTGCAGCATTT